TAGGTATGCTGATGGAGAAAAGAAGAGGAATCTTTCAGTAAAACATTGCAATAAAAAATAATTTTAAAAAGCAGATGGATATGGACTACTTAAGAATATAACTTATTAATAACATCATTAAGACACAGATTCACTTCCAACAAGCCAAAATTAAATTCATAATCTCAAAAGTCCCTGTCATAAATAATGGCAAGACCAAAGCCTTAATCAGAATATCCTTCCAGAGGTAATTCTATTACAAAATGTAAAGTTTGAGGTGGCTATGTTCAGAAGTAAAATGTTGAAAATTATATTTGGTAATTCCAGGCTAATGTAAATGATTAAATTAAATCTATCACCTTGGTGATAGTCATAGCTCTAGTGAAAAACAAAGCATGTTACACAAAGGAAAAGCATCTGATAAGAGGAACAGCTTAGAAGAGTGTCTTTTCTAGTCTACTGCATATTTTCTCAGGAAAGCTCTAGGATCAATTTTCTCCACTTCCCAGGGAAAGGAGGCACCTCTGATTGGATTGCTCCAGCAGCTTAAAGAAGCTGCCACATTCTCTTTAAAAAAAAAAATTCTTTGCTTGGATTTCTAACCAAAGGAGCTGTTTCACTGCTATGAATCCACACTGCAGAGGCATCTAGGAAACTCCATTGGCACTTCCTGGCTCAGCATACAACTGAGTCACATTCTCTGACACAACTCTCCCCTTACACTGCACAAGGGAAACGGGTGACTGCTTGAAGGTTCACAGCAGGGTATCCAATGGAAGGAACTGCTATTGTTCCCTGTGTGGCTAATGGAGAGAGAGACCTAATGAAGCCCCTGCTCTAAATCACTGGCTGGTGAGGTGCCTACCTATTGCCACTGATTACTTAGAGAGTTCACAGTTTCCATTACCTTAGATATATAGTATAGTTGATGGACCTCGATTACTACTGAATTTCAGGGAGTGTGAATAGCTTCCCTGTCTCTCTTTAATCCTAACTCCCTCTAGTGGATTTAACCCTTTGGTCTGAGCAGCAGAAAAATTCAAATTTAAGAGAGATTATTTCTGCTCCCCTGCCCCCCCAAGCAAAGTCCAAGAAATTAATACAGTAAGAAGATATCTTTGGAAAGAAGTATGATCTTTGGTGCTTGAAAGCAATCCATATCTAATTCCTGACTGAAAATGGCAAAATTACTCTGCTGAAAACTAGCATGTCAAACTAGCCCAGATTTTCAAGAGTGATGCATTTTTTATCTCTAGGGAAATCAAGGATTGCTATAGAGATAAAAAACTATAGTTTCTAAAAGAGTGGTGTCTTGTTCACAGGCAACAAGTCATTGACAGGTGAACCTGTCATATTCTTAATTACTACCCAGGGAAATTCTGATAATATTGTGACAATATTGAAAAATAGTTATTTAAAACAATATAATTGCACACATAATTAAGTAGTTTAGGGTTTTTTTGCACCCTCTGTCTAATTCGAAAGCATGTCCTCTCTGGAAATTTCAGGTACAATATATACCTCTAAAAGTATCTTTCTTTCTTCTTTAGTAGATGAGTTGGAGCTCAAAGAATATGCTTATCTGTGACCAGTTTTCAGTAGGTAGAAATTCGGACAGAACTACTAAGTCTCAACTATCCCGTTTATTTCCAAACCATTTCTCCATTAATTGCTCCATTTTGAACACATACTCCCATGTTCAGTGAAAATGGTATATACATTGTAGCATTTTAGTATGATTACAATGAAATAAATGCAAGAAAGTCTAGGACTAAAGCTGTTATTCACAATTTGGTTAATAATTTTATATTGATACTTCACTGCAGTTCCCAAAGAACCTCCTTGATCTTTTTCTTTACAATAACTGCAGCTGTAAAAACAAAGCTACAATAGTATAGGGTTTTTTTTGTAAAGGAAAGTAAGACTTCTCTACTAATAAAAGAATCCAAACAATCATGGCATTATTTATTTTCAGATAACTGACAAAAAATAATTTGATTATGTGTTTGTATCAACTATGCATGACCCTCAAAAATCACTGGCAGACCAGGAATTTATAACCAGAACACATTCCCTGGACAGTGCAACTATTTGGATTAATTGCATTAAGAGAATTAATTTTGAAGGATTTGGAAATGTTTTTACAAGATTTAGGAAGGATTTCATTGGGATTACATGATGAGCAATTTTGAGTGTGCTTAACTGTTCACATTAACTCTCTAAGCAAGCATGAAATGGATCAGTCATCACTGATTATTAATTCTTATCCAAGATTTTGTCACCATAAAGGGAACATTTTTGTAGTTCAGTGTATACTTCACCCTGCTAGTAGAAAAAAACCCCTATGCTTTAGCAAGGATCTCAGTGCTGATGTTCTTCATACTGCTGGATTTGAAGAGTGTGCTTGTACTCTGCATATTTCTGTTCTCTTGTGTAGCCTTCAGATAAATGTAATTTTACTATTTGATCTAAAATGATACTTAAGTTGGCCTTTATTTAAATTGATCTATATTTGCCATATGATAATATTACTTGCCAATACCACTTTCAAAGCTCTACTAATTGCAAATTTAACTTAGGTATTGAAACTGAGCACCAATGTTCTAAGATTAAAATATTAATTCAAGGGAGAAAATATGCATAAACTAGAAAGTTTTAGCAGTTGCTCTACTAGCACCAATTAGCCAAATCAATTTTATGCCAAATGTTCTGTTACATCAACTGGGACAACAAGGTAGAGAATTAGGGCTTCTATATAAATTCTGGAAACCCAAATTAAAAAAAATTAGTATTCTTTTTATATTTCTGGGAAACCTGAAGTTGTAGAAAGAGATGCACTTCTCTGTGTTTATTTTTTTTTCTAATGAGATCACAACTGCATTAATATACCAAAATGTGGGTGTCCAATGTTGAGCACACTGTTCTGTTGTATGCTATTATCTGGTGGTAAATATGCAAATACACAAATAAACCAAGAAACGATGCCTGCAAACCCCATTGGGAAAAATAACAGAGGCAGCTGTGCAAAGAGCTCCAAGAACATAGGTCAAATTTATGAGCATATGTAGATTTACTCAATTTTTGTTTTAAAAAGAGATTTTGCCTTTCACTGCAGATAATTTGTGTTACTGCTGTTCTACTATACAGTAGAACAGACTGATTTTGTTGATGCAAAGGCAGTCAGGAAGTAGAAAAAGTAGTCAAATGTTAAACTGATACTTGAGTGAGATTTATTTGCTTGCTTGTAATTTGCGCATTTAATTACCTGTGGGAGAGATTCTTGTGGACATTGGATTTTTCAAAAACAAAATAAGATGTGAATAACTATTAATAGAATTACCTGCCAAGAAATATTAAATTCTAATACAGAACTCTAGAAAAAATTTAATGAAGCCTTTATTTTTTTATATTTAAAACTTGCCTTGTAGCTGGTAACTTCATTGCTGAAACTGAATGGCAGCAACAGAGATTTCCTGACTCAAGGAAATACTTTCACAAAAGCAGCTAAGACTATTCCCTTTGGAATGCTGTAAAACACAAACAGCTGTATATTCCTCACTTGGCTACACTATTAGATCACTAAGAAATTATATCAGCAATAATATTGTCTAACAATTGTTCTTCGTTCAGCTGTTGTCATTTAGGTACTTTTACCTATAAACTATCCTGATTTAAAGTTCAGCACTGGTCATTTGCCACAGAATACAGAACAGTCAGACTGGTATATTACAGTGTTATTACCTCTCTTCCCTTTGTTTCAAACATATTATTAAATGTTTTTATTATGGCAAAGAAATTCTCAAGTGTTTGTCACCACCAAACACTTTAATATGAATCTCACCAGCCACAGATTGTGCATACCTGCAAGTGAGCTTTTAGTGGAATAAAAGTGCATGCAAAAGGTGAGTTAATGCAGAATTTCTGGTTAAAATTCATGTACATAAGTGAAAAATGGCTAGAGAACCTAATTAATGGTTACTATTGGAACTTCTGATTAATCTGCAGAATTAAATGTGGAATTGAAAACCCGATCTGCTGTAGCACACTGCAGAAGCCATTGACTGAAAAATATCCAGCTATGAAATCAAATCCCTTATTATGAAAAACATTATATTTGACTGCCAAGTAAGAGTAAATATTGTCTGTGCTTTTAAGGTACTTTAAATATTAATATAGAAACCTGAGTTACGTATCAATTTCTAATTGCTTGAAAGAACACTAAGGCAGAATTCTAGAGCAGCAGAAAAAATCACTTTTGCATGTCATTTTTAACATTGCCAATTTCTGACTCGTGAGCTTAATTCTCTGACTAAAAAATGCCTTACTTTCTTGATTTTAAAAGATCACAGCAAAGACGCTACTGAGAAAAAAAAAAAAGGCATTTGCAAGAAGGGCAGCACACCATAACTACAGCCAAAACCGTGAAATATATTTTATTTCAACAAATATCATTTAGCCTGATTTATCCACTTCCCTCCATGTTAAAAAAAAAAAAAAAGTTATTTTAAGAAAAACACTTTTTGATTTAACCCAGATAGAAGAGTGGATACAGGCTGTGTATGTAAGAAATAATATTGAATGTTTTTAACCAGTGTGAGTATTGCCTCACGAGCTGGGCTTTGGGAAATGCTGTCCAAAGTTCTACCTTGCAATACAAACTCCCCCAATTTTCTTAGAGTTCGTAGAGTTTAATGTGCCTGTTCGTACTTCAAACTTGATGGGCAAAGGAGAATTTTACTTTTGTAAACATGGAATGACTGCAGAAGCCTATTCAATACCGATTTTTAAAAGCCGAAATTAATTTCTGATTGTGGATTAAGTCTTGGGGGAAGATCCACTTGCGCGTGTTTTAGACAACACCAGGGAGCGACAAGGAGCCAGCGACGATTGCACAAACAGCGGGAGCTGCCATTCGGAAGGAAACAAACAGGAAACAGCGGGGCGGTGCCTGGCGGGCCGCACCGCCCTCAGGCGAGCGGGACGTTCGAAAGGCGGCAGCGGCGGCGGCGGCCATCGCGGCCATGGTAGAGGGCCCGGGCTGCGCGCTCTGCGCCGAGCGCCTGCGGGCGCGCCTGCGCCGGGGACAGCGCGTGCGGGCCGCGCGGGGCGGCGGCGGCGCGGTGAGGGCACAGGGACACGGACAGGGCGGGGGAGCGGTGAGGGGACAGGGACAGAGACAGGGACAGGGCTGGGGAGCGGCGCTGCCGGCCCGGCCGCCGGGACAGGGCGGGGCAGCTGCCCCGGGCAGCGGGGCCTAGCGCCTTTGCTCGTGGGTGTCCGCGGTGGTAAATGCCACCGGGTGTGGGTGAGAGCGAGCGAGCGGGCAGGAGCCGCCGGGGTGCCAGCGCTGGCGGACGGAGCTCCGGGCGGGGTGGTTGGTGCCTGCCGTGCCCCGTGGGTGATGGTGGCTGTCATCCGCGAATACTGAATTCTTCCTTGAAGCTGTGAAATATTCCTGTCAGCACCATAATATTCCAATTGCCGCAGTCAGATGTGTGAAGACGATTCTGAAGCTGTAGAAACAGGAGATTTGAGAAGGAATGAGGGAAAGCTTTTAGCATCGCTGAGTTCACTTAGGATAAACGTCAAAATACCATGTTGCTCGAGAAAACACAAGGGAAATTATTGCTAATCTTCCTTCTTCATAATCTCTTCAGTGTAGGCATGTCCTAGATGCTCTTTAAGGTCCCTTCTAAACCAGACCATGCTATAATTCTAATTTATGTGAAACATAAGAAAGTTACACATTGGCCTGCAGAAAGGCGGTTTCTATATTCGTTTTTTTAAGCAATTTTAATTAGACCAAATATTAAAATAAAGAGTGTGACATCTGGTTTGCAACCTTTCATTGACAGCATAAAATAGTTCGCTAGTATAAAGCTGCTGGGACTTGTGAGACCTTGTAGCAGATGGAGAAATCACTTGGCTGATAAGTGTGTAGGTACCGTCCTCTGGTTTTGATTACAGGTATCTTTTTTCCATGCCTCATTTTGCTCATCTTTAAAAGGCTGTGTGTTGCTTTTGTTGCAAGTAAATATATTGGATTCTGCCAGGCAGAAAGTTGGGGAATTTTTACCCACTTTTAGTGTGGATAAAGCATTGTAGGAGTTTGTGATTAAGGCACAGTAAGATAGTACTTCAGTGAAACAATTTAGGAAAGGATGGTTGAAAATACGTCTGTCTAAGATATGTCTTGAGACTAGTCTATAGGTTAATATCTTTCAGGACAGATTGTTGAAGTAAGGAATTATGCTCCTAAGGTTTCAAAAAGAAATCTCACTCCCTCAAATAGATTCGTTATTATTACTTTGTGCAGTAAAAGTCACCTCAGGGCAGCCTCTATTCATTGGAAAATGACCAAGCTAAGGGTCTTGGACTTTCTAGATTTCACAGAGGCTGCTGACCGTGGCTAAAGCCTTGGCCGCTGCTGAAGATTACACTGTTTAGGAGAGTTTGTACTATGATGACTGTAAGGGTTTCCCTGATACCAAAGAGGTATGAATTTAACTTCAAATATTTGAAAACACAAGTTAGTTTTCCATCTCAGTCATTTCCTATTCTGGTTTATTTTAAACAACCCTGAGTGGATTAAAGTTAAATAAACGTTGTTGCACAGCAACAGACTCCAGTACTTTTATTGGAAAGCATGAACTGCTTACATGGGAGCAAAATTTTGCTTTCTTCTTATTTTGATAACAGACAAAGTAAGTGTTATGCAAGAAATGTTTTTATTTTCCTACTTGACAGAATAATAACCATAAAACTCTCTAAATGTATATCATTTCAAGGTAATAATATAGTGGGAGATTGCATAGAGAGTAGCTCTGAAATGTCACTAACTAGCAGAAGCCTGGCTGATTTGCCAGAGTTGCTTTCATACATATTTGCATTGAAATGGAGTGCTGCAATTGAAGCACTGATGTATCTATCTGCCTTGCAGTCAGGGCTGTGAGGGCAGTGAGTCTGCAGGTTTCAGCAGGGTCAGAAGGGACCTTGGGGTGCTGGTCAGAGAGACCTTCACAGGCTGAGAAAAAGGGCTGGTAGAAAGTCAAGTTCAGCATTTGGAAAACCTGCAGAATCCCTGTCATGGAACAGCACAGTCCTGGCTGCTGCCCAGATGGGAAGTGGCTCTGCATCAAAAAAGGGCTCTAGGGTCCCATAGAAGCTGAGTCCATGTCACTTCCACATTCCAAGAAGAGGGACATCCCCATGTGGGGCTCTGCAGGTTGAGGAGGGTGATGCTTACCTCTGAGGAGCAATTGCAAGGCTGCACCTGAGTTTGCAACTCCGTAGTAATAACAAGATAATAATAGACTGGAGTGAGTCCTCTGGTATGATTAGCAGGGTGAAGCACATGGTGCTCAAGGAGATGATGACAGAACTGGGGTTTTCTTGCTCTCCTCAGGTAGCTGTAAGGAGGATATGGAGGAGACAGAGCTAGGCTCCTGTAGGGACTTGCACAGTGGGTGAGAAGCAGCAGATGCAGGAGACAACAGGAGTTCTCATTCAGTATTAGGAGGAATTTTCCACCACAACAATAGTCAAGCCATGGAACAAGGGCCCAAAGAGATAGGAGTGTCCATCTCTGGAGCTGCTCTGAATCTGACTGGACATGGCCCTGGGCTCTCTGTCCTAAGTGTATTCTGCTTTGACCAGGTGTTTGGATCAGATAACCTGTTGACATCCCTTGTAAATTCAATGTATTTTCATGTGCTATGGAAGAAAATATGACTGCTTCAATCTCACATTTATCTTCTGCTCTAGTCGTGTCCTACCTGCTGCTCATCTGCTTCTGAGATTAGACTTGAAACTAGCAGGAGGAGAGAGGTATCTCTGTGGGCTCAGTGGAGGCTTTTCTGTAGCACACAATACACTATGCAGCACACAATGCACTGTGCAAAATACTGAAAGCCTGTTATTAACATTTGAAGAAGGATATAGATCTGCAAATGGCAGAATTGACACTGACATGTTTTTAATATTCAAACTACCTGTTCGTTTTGCACCAGTCTGAAACTCTTATTATAAATTCATGACTCGAAGGAAAAGGCATAAAATTCCCTGATAAAAAAGATGTATTGTTTCAGTTAGGAAAAAAATTGAGGTAAGTTATGATAGCATTAGCAATAGTGACTGCTTCGTGGGTTAATAGTCCCATTGTTTTTGCTAGAATACTTAAGGAGAAAATAGTTAATGCTGTCCAAGCTGGAAAATCAGTACAGCTGCTTGGTGAATGTGTACTGGTGCTAGAATCTAAGCAGTATAAATTCTCCTTAATCTTTGTGTATATACTCATTTTTCAGACTGCTGCAAGTAAAGAGAACATCTCTGGTCATGATTTCCTTGTTGGACATGTTTACAGGGGTGTGGAGACATTGGGAAAAGAACTTTTTATGTATTTTGATCAGAAAGCTTTGAGGTAAGTGAGAAAAAGGCTTCCTATGCATTCAGACTGAATATATTTGCAGAGGTCATCTTGATCTTGCTAATGGCACTCTCAGAGAATTGAAAGTTTTAGAGAGAAACTTCTCATCAGCCTCTCTGCAGTACAGGCATACTAGATAAAATCACATGTTCAGATAATATAATACTTTACTCCAAGATTCCATGTAAAGGTATCTTGAAAGGACAGTTATTTATTGACATGCTTTCTTTCAAACAGGAAGTTGCATTTTGTGGAGTCAAAATAGTTATAATACATGCAGTGCATTCAGATCCCTGCAATATTGTGTAGCACGAAATAATTCTAAAGTTTCACCCTTTTACTTTAAAACTAGAAATCATCGACTCCTTACTACTAGTTCTCATTGAATAGCATTTCCTAGGCTTGATAAGCATGCCTTTTCTGTTTGTAATTAAAAAGAAGATTTACATTTTGCCCTTTTTCAGGACATCAAAGGTAATGAAACACTTTAGAACAAAATTTTATAAATGTCTTAATGCTTTTAAATGTAAACGTGTAGTGATGATTCTTTTCTTTTTCTAGTCACGAACTGAGAAGGCGCTAGAATAGCTAATAGTTGTGATTGTTAAAGTTTCTTTCAAACAGTATAGAGCTTAGGAAATGAAACCATCAGCTATAAAACTGAAGGAAAAATAATTTTCTGGAAGCATTTAATGCGTCACCATTTGTAAGCAAGATGCAAGAGTTTGGTTTAAAAGTAAATTTGTCTAGGTTTAAAAATAAATTTGGCTAGTTAAGCCTGTGCAGTACTACTCATGGCACTTGAGAATTGAAAATGGCTTTTGAAGATAAAAGTGATTGAAACAACTATATCACCTGATCTGACTTGTAAGAAGAGTTTTGGAAAGACACAGGTTTTTAAGTAACTCATAGCATTACTTTTTTCATGTTTTAAACAGTAACTTTAAGAATAGGCTTAATGACATGAGTCTAGCCCATCTGCAAATATTTAAAATGCCTGTCCTTCCTGGAATGTAGGAAAGCTGGCCTTACTGGAAACAGAGACCTGATATTGCATTTCTTTGGTCATTTATGTAGTTTAGTCTGTTAAATCTTCTTGTAACTACAAAATAATCTACTTTTTCTGGTATACAGTGTATAGGCATTCCTGCTGTCTTATGGTTTTTAGGTCTTGATTGTACCAGGTGAAATTGTAATAAATAAAATGTGTGAGATAATAGTCAGGCTTGTCCTTTGCTCAAGCATAGCTCCTCGTAGAATATTTTATAAAACTTAAGACCTCTTAAAGCATTACTAATCTGTAGAATGAATGCTTGAAAGGGTCTGTTCTTGTACTTTGCCATCTGTGCATTTTTCAGTTTATTTATTTTATTAATTTTTAATTGACTTGCAGGTTTTGCCGTGGTTGTAGGCAAAGAAAAGCAGAAAACAACATATGGCAAATACTAATTATGTTGTTTATGGTGTTACTGGATTTAGCTGCAATGTGATAACAGTGGTGGGAATATGGGGACTAAATTCTTTCTTTTCATACCAGGTGACTTCTGCCTGATTTAACAGAAAATTTTCTGGTCAAGTGGCCTCATTTCTTTCAGCCTTCCTGAAAGTTTATGAGTCTGTGTTGGAAGATCAGCATGTCAAGTGAAAAAAATTCTAAGTGCACCAGAAATGGTGCTTCTTAATGATCAGGTTTGACTTCTGTGTAATGAATTATGAAGACTACATAAAACCAGCTGTGTTTTGGAGGGATTTTTACTTGGGGAGCATTCTTTCTTTTTTGGGAATTGAGCATTCTGTAAGCTAAGTTTGTTGCTGTGTTACTGGTAATGACTAGAATTAATGTACATGCAAACTGAATTGGTTTGGAAAGGTTCACAGCTCTAAAAATAGACTGGTGTAGTGCTTGGAAACGATAGCAAAGTTAAAATACCTATAAAAACTCTTTCTTTCCAAGGATTCACTTTGGTATGAATGGTTCCATGCACATTAATCCTGATGGAAGCAAAGAAAGAAATGGAGCAGAACCAGTTTTGGAGATACAGCTTATGGAGGATACTGTTTGTTTTTGGGATGTGACAGTAGAGTATAGGTAAAGCAGAAACTAATGAAACAGTTTATTTCTTTTTATAACTATCTTTTAAGGTAAATGAAAAAATAATGTACAGATTGTTGGAGTCTATCAAGAAAAATCTTTCATATCATAAACATATCATATTTGTTGGTATGGTAATTGGAGTTTGTTACTTTGGTATCAGAGCTTACATACAGTTAAAGTAGTTCTATGCCATAGTGTCATTAGGTAGTGCTGAGACTGGGAATGAAAGTTGGATTTAATTCTATCCTTAGATCTGTATGCTGAAACCCATTGCTCTGTTAATTTCTATCCAAATCTCACTTCTTAAGAAGAGTAACAAACAACCTGTCACGATTACTGGTTTCAAGTTTTTATGCTCCCAAGGTTGGGTTTTTATTTTTTTCTTTATGGAAGCAAATTCTTATAATTGCTCTAATTTACATTAAGCAGATGTTTATGCCCATTAGCACTGTACTTCACGTTGCTTAAAAAAAAACACCACCAAGCATGATTTTAGTGATTGAGGCTCTTGAATGGAAATGGGCATGTAAATTCATGCAACATATATAAATGTATGTAAAATTAAAAAACACAAAATCTCATGTAAGCCAAGGCTTCTTGTATGGTATTTTTTTCAAATAAATATGGTTAACCTAATAATACATATCTTAAAATATGAATATATATTTTTCTAAATTGTGTAACTACTGTTAATAACCTACTACTACATCTATTACATAATTATAATTCTCTCAGTTGATTAAAGCATGGTGCTAATAATGCCAGGATTGAGGGTTTGATCCCCATTTGGTCCATTCACTTAGGAGCTGGACCTCATGATCCTTGTGGGATCTTTCCAACTCAGAATATTCTGTGATTCTTTGAAATACAATATATAAATTGATTTTACACACATATATATACACACACATGTAAATGTCATGTTGTAGCTAGTGGACCCTATAACCATACAGTTGGGTATGGTTGAGAGTCCAAACACATGGGCTTTCCATCTTGGAAGTAGTTTTAAAGCAAGGAGCTGGCAAATGTTTTTCAAGGTACTAGGAACAAAATGAGATTGGACTAGATGCATGTTCCATGCATGTTATCATTGACCTGTTTTTGGAAGAGGTGTTTAATGGAATTTCTGTGCCACTTCTTGTCACTGGTATTTTCATGGTTTCTGTTATCTGCATTTAATGTTCTAATTTGTCGTGTTGTTTTTAAAACCACACTGCAATATTAGAATATATTTAAAATAAAAATTAATCAGTGTATTTTTCTCTTCCAGAAATGCAGCTGAGTGTGAACAGAAAGTGAGGATGATGGAAAGTCTGGATGTCTGTTCTCCAAAGTTTAGCTTCTCAAGAGCAGAACAGGAGATTAAGCAGCAGAAGACCCGTATGTTGTGTGATGTGTTATTGGATCAATCAGTACTACCTGGAGTGGGAAATATCATAAAGAATGAAGCACTGTTTGATAGTGGTCTTCATCCAGCTCTTAAGGTGAGTGAATGTCTCAAGATGGTTAAGGACACCAAAATATTAAGAATTTAAATACATGTTTATTTAATATTTTGCTATCTTCTTACCTTTGTTTTGTCATCTGTAATTTCTTAAGGTATTCTTGGACACTAAATTAATGTTCTTTCATTATAACAAGAGGTTTTTGTCACGGCACTCGTTGGAGTTGATGAGCTTTCATATTTTAAGTCTGGCATCCTGTTATGCTGCCATTAAACTGATAGTCCATAAATAAGGGAAAGTGAAAAGTGCTCAGGTTTTTTTGTTGATTTACTACCCAAAATAGTTTAGGTGGTAGAGCTGATAATTTTTGCAGCTGCTTCTTCCACTTCTTATCCTGCTAGCTGGCATCAGTTGTTTTTTCTACCATTGTTTATCATACTTTTTCTGTTTTAAGATCCTCAAGCATGTTTTCAAACTTTGGGTGAGAAGATATTATATAAAACAGAGGATGTAAATGGAAACTGGAGAAGATTCGTAACTGAAGTTTTTTAAACACAGTATTTCGAAAATTGTTCATAGGATCCATCTGGTTTTTAATTTTATCTGTGATATGGCAGAGGAAAAAAAGTGTGATTTAAAATTTTGAGTTCTTAAGAAAAATAAATTTGGTTGATATGTCTCTCTCATTGTGATGCCTTTGACTCGTGTATTTTTCCTGAATATGTCTGAGAGGAAAGAGCTCTGATGATAGGTCATATTATTTTCATGAGGAAATTAGGAGGGATGTGAGACTTACTAACTCTGTTATTCACGTGATCATGAACTCTTTGGTCAGTACAGGGCAAGACAACTGAATTTTCTAGCACATGTTTTGCATGGTTGCATACATTGTTTGGTATGCAAGCCATGAGTTTTTGTATTATAGAATGTAAACGTGTACTGTGTTATTGAGAGGATACATATAATATGGACTCAGGGAATTATCACAAAACGGAGAAAAGCAGCTCCACATCAGTGTTCAAAGTGCACTTACCCATAGGTCTTCTTTTTGCCATTGTCCCTTAGCATTGTAATATTCTAAAACTCATTCTTGTCCTTCTTACAGGTTTGCCAACTGACAGATGAGCATATACGTCACTTGGTGAAAATGACACGTGATTTTACCCTGCTTTTTTATAAGGTACTGGCACATGTTCCTGGAGAACTTCCAAAATACTACTCTGGCATGTTAGCTGTGTGTGATCATCTGGTGAAAACAGTATAAAGATGCAACAAAGCAAGTGTTTCCATGAATAGGAATGTTGGTTTGTGTGCTCTTTAATAATTGTGAATTGTCAGATGATGGAAAGGTAGGGAGAGTCGTGACTGTCAAAATATGCACAATTTGGCCCAAAGGACTTTCACAGATGCAGCCTGAAGGCCAGTTCAGTCTTTCTGTGCATGTGCTGGTTATGCCAGTGTGAACATGTCAGAATTGATGTAGGCTAAGCACAGAGTTACATGTAAGGTAACAAAGATTACTCCTCAAACTGGGAACTAGACATTGTCCCAGGGAAGTATGAAGGTAGTTGATGTGGCTTCTTATATAAAACTTGAAATAGCAATTAAATTTATTTGGCTAAATAGTTTGCAACTTCTAACAACCTTTTTTTCCCTAACTCAAATAATGGATTTGGTTGATAAACTGAAATAAATTACAGTTTCTCCTTACTGCTATAACTTCAGTAGGACTTAATTTCTTCCTGTATAAACTCCATAATTCATAGTGCTCTTTAACTTTCCACCTTAGAAAAAGAGAAAATTTGACTTAATTCTTCTATGTTTTGTTTCTTTAAGCTGCAAACAAAAAAAAAAAAAAGATAAGGAGTAGTGACAATTTTGTCTTTTTCTCTTGATGTTCATGAAAGGCAAGGAGCTAGCTGTGCCAAAAAGAATTTTTTTCTTGGGTGAGGGCACCTAACATGCCTAAAATCATAAAGGCTAAAACTTTAATTTGTTTAATAGTCTGCTTGAATATCTACTTTCCCCCATCCACTAAAGAGTACTTTGGTTTGTTTGTAGGGAAATATTTTCATTTCTCTGAAATTCATAATGAAGTCTGCCAGTAAAGAGACACCTTGTAGTTCTGCAACAAATCTAATACTCAGAAATTTAAAGGCTTTTGGGCTGATAATAAACAGGTTATACTTTCTGTTCAGCCAATTTGAAAACTTCTGTAGTCCACACTTAGCAAGTACTCACCAGTCAAGTATTTTAAGAGGGCTAACCTCTCCTTTCATGTTAGAGACATAATGAAAATATGTTTATGAGGGATAGTGCTTGAATTTTTTTAATAGACTGTTATAGATTGTTTGCAGTCATCATACTGTATCATTGCAGATGCAAAGGTGAAGAATCCTGTTTGTGTAAAAAGCTGGATTTTTACACAAACTGCTTTCTGTGTAAACAAAAGCTGCTTTCGTTTGTTTTTTGCATAACTGGATGGGAAAAAAGCTACTCATAAGAAACTGACTGAAAACCTTGAGGAGGCAGCTGTGAATATTCATGCAAATATATATTAGCAATTTCTTCTGATTGAATTACTAGTTTGCGCTGGCACAAGAATTCTCTTTCAGCAAGACTGATGAATAAGAGCACAGTAGAAGCAAATGCACTGTGCTCAAAGACACCTGTGTTTTGGGAAAACTCCAAGGGTTTTCATACACTTTGGAGCTACAACTAGTGAACTCTGCCAGAGCTGTGCTGGTGTTACTTGGCCAGCTGAGGTGTCATTTGAGCTGAGCCCAAGGATTTGCAATTGTAGGGCAGAAACTTGGGTGGCTCTGCAGAGTTGGCTGCATCTCTACTGAGCTCTTCTTGTTTGGAATTTTTTTTTTCGCTGCTTTTAGCTGTAGTGTGTCTATGCTGACTTCATGGGTGTTTTGGGAATTGTCTCATAAAATGTGCCTGCCAGCTGTCTGGAGGCTTTTCAAGTCACTGCCCTTGGGCTTGTACTGTACTTAATTTAGTATGGCTTTCTGCCAGACTCTGGGGAGCTCACCATAGTGCCAGGTGGCTTTTCAAGTTGTTTGGCATGGCCAGGGCCAAGATATAGCTGAGCAACTTTACTGGGCACTACCCAACATTTAGAGAATCTTGGGAATATTTCTGCATTGCACACTTCTTTAGGTTTTGGGAAGGCTTATGAACCCAGATTGTAGCATTGCATCTGAGCTGTGCTGAGTTTTTGGGTCTTTGCGGGTGAGAGAAGGCGGTGTTTGTTTTGTGGTTTATGTTTGTTTTGTTTTCTATGCTGCATTGGTTGGAGTTCTGATTGATTGATCAGCTCTTCAAGAAGACTCCTGCAGGTGTCAGGTCAAAGGCAACTGGTGCTGATTCAGAGCTAGCTGGTCCAGCTGAACTCAAAGTTCCTAGCATGTATTTGCTCTCACCTTGCTAGCATGCTTTTTTTTTCTGAGTTTTATTTCAGTATGTGGAGAATTACAGACACTGTTATACCTGACTTGTCAATTCTTTACATAAAATAATGTGAAATATGGGGATAGCATTTATTAGTGTCTCCCTTAAGTAACTTCATCTAGCCATTGAGTTGACAATTTATGTAGTGTTTTTTATTTTCAGACTCATGTGAAATTGATGCTGAGTCTCTAACACGGACTTTGCCCACGTTCTGTTGCAGTGCCGCAGAGCGGGGTCCCCGCTGTACCAACACTACAGGGTGTACAGGCGCTCAGCCTGCCGGGAGTGCAGGGGCAGCATCACCGTGTGCCGTCTGGGAGAGCATGGCAGGATGACTTACTTCTGCTCCCGGTGTCAAAAGGCAGATCCCCAGCTCCTCAGTCTCAGGTATGATGGTAGCATCATGGTGACCTTTTTAAGCACCTCAAAGTGCTGTTACAGTAAAAGGACACCCCCTTTGAAACAGAATGGATCTGTGTGCATTTTATAACTAAATTAACTATGTCAGACAAAACCAGAACATATTGCAAGAAGAAAAAAAATTGCCTATTGGTATTTAAAAATGGTTAGAAGCTTCGATTCTTTGCTACTATTCTTTTCAAAGGTGTCATCTATTATGAAACAGCTGTCACTGTAATCAAATGTAGGAATTATGAAACAATTCAGAGTACTCAGATTTATTCACTGAAACTAAGTCACCAGAAAAGTTACCCTTTGTTCTTGGTGTTATCAATGTAAAGGGCATGGATGTTTCCATACAACTGAGTTGAATATAATGAAGTAGGAATTTCTCTATCTTTTTGCAGGATAGCCCCATCACTCCTGGCATATCTAGATAGCTGTGCATCTGTGCAATTTTCTTCTGGATATGGAATTATACTGAGGATAACCAAAACTTCAGTAAATTCAGAGTGCAGCAAATATTTTAGGGGCTTAGTACTTTTTCTTCCTTATAGGATTTTGAAAGCTTTTGCTATAGGTGTGCTACAGAGGCACTTTTGCTTCCACATAAATTGTGCTAGCAGCAGCTTTCCTCCTTTTATTTCAGGAAAGCAGAAAGTGCATTTGATATCACAAAGGGTCAAAAGGTAAAAGTTACAAAAATACCTTATTCAGACTTAGGCATCTGTTATTCTTGAAAATTTTCATCTGAGGCTTCAGAATTCTGCCTTTATATTCTCTGTCAGTCTAATACAAGATGCTGTTTCACTTTGTGGCTTTGCCTCATTACTGTGTGGGGGTGTGTGTGTGTATATATATATATATATATATGTTTTAGATAAGATTTACAGAACACAAAAACGCCTCTCCTACCTCCAAGCTTCTTTCAAGACTCAGATGTCTGAAGGGATTTTGCTTAAAGCTTAAAAAGATGCCTTTGGGTACAGATCAAATATCGAAAATTCCAGCATGGAAGATAAATATTTCACAATCTGATAACCCAAATTCGCTGTATTTTCAGAAAGTAATAATGAGAAATATTTTGCAAAAATGTAGGAAGACAGCATTCTTCTGTTGAGTCAGATAACTAGAAAACAGTGTCAGGAAAAAAATCTTTCTGTTTTCTAGAACAAGTAGTGATTTAGCATTTTGTTGTTGTACTTTTAAATAAACAATTAAAGAGTGCTGTATTTAAGTGAAAAATATGGTAGTGGTAGCTATAAAATAAAAAGATGTTTTCTTGTCTTGTCCTTATCCTAATGGTCAGTTCTTTGTTTTCTACTGCTCTCTTTTCAATTTTAAGTAACTGTTACTATATAAAATTATGTATAGCTCAAGTAATTTATTTGCCATTCCAGGCTTTTCACATTTAAAGACTGGAAGGGGCCAATGTGATTAGACTGACTTGCTACAGATAATAAACTGTAGAATTCAACCCAGTGGTTTTGGGGTCAAGTCAACTAGCTTAGGATTCTGCTCAACTGAAAAAAAAATTAGAAAATACCCATTATAAACTTAGCCCATCAAATTCAAATGTACCTTGAATTTAAAAAATAACCTTTCCCCACATATTTCATAAACTGGGAGAGGGTGTGGGAGTTATAATGACAGGATAGATGACCCAGGGTAACAACATGGAATCAAATTCCCACACATGATACACTGAATATATTCAGTCTAGTAATGCATTTTTTGATAACTGAGTAGAACAATTGATCTAATGTGAAAATACCCATTTTAACACTTACAGTTTGGCTGTTTTGTTTGCTAGCCACAGTATTTTGGTGAATGCTGTAATGTCTGTTTTACCTCTTAACAGCACAGACTCTGGAATGTCAGCAGTTCTCATTATCCTCCTTAGTTTTCCTTTTGTGGAAGATACGGTAGGTAGTGGATATCTTTAGTGGTTATCTTAGAGCTCTAGCCTCTTAAGTGATCATTATGGAAAAAGTGATGAGTCAAGGGAGTGTCACTACACTGCCCACCTACAGCATTTGCATTGTTGACTGAAGTGCTTAAATTCTTAGGATTAATAAAAGTCTCTGAAAAGTCCACAATTCCACAAAAACTATATAAAAATATATACGCTTGACAACTTATCAACCATTAGTTGGATAATACAGCACTTAAAAGCATACAAACATAACTTACTGAACAGGTAAATTCAAGCTACAATTAATATGCTGTCAGTGATTGGATACTATGACAAGAGCAGCCCCTCATAACAGGAAGCTGTAAAGGAGTAAGTATGATCTAAATCAGTCTATCAACATAGGATGTTATAATTTACAGGAAAATAAATACAACTAAATCTTTAGTGGTGTCTGGAGTAGCTTTGTCTCACAAGTCCCAGCTAGGCTCCTTAATTCTGAACAGGTTCCTACATTTAAAAGGCTTTCCAGCAAATGGTGACACACAAGAGACATTCTGACTTTTAAAGCTTTCAGCTGTTATGGTAACAATGTGGACTTATGTGTAGCATTTAAATGAGAACAAAAAAAATTTATTTGCTGGACTGTGTGATTTCTGCAGTTCATCTTCTAAGCAGTTCTTCATCCAGTAATGCATTTGTTAGCAAGTCTTGTGTACAAGAGATGGGGGGAAAAGCCCTAAAACAATCTCCCTTTCTCACCAAGCTTTTTGCTGCAGTACATGGAAATGGTAGGGAATCTGAGAGACAGGCATTGTCCTGGAGAGTACACCAGTTGATAATTAACTTTCTGTCAATTTCTTGTTTAAATATTTTTATTTGTTTTACTTCTGCAGCATCTGGAAAGATTTGGCCTTGAGGTAAAGAAAAGAAAAATCAAATTTGAACACTGACATGCTGTCCAAGCTCTGATAGGAGGCTTAACACTGCATCCTGCTTGTTCTCTAGCCCATGCCTCCCTGCACAGAGTGGTGTAAGGCAATTTGTAGGGGGAACGTCACAAAACACTAACATCACTCTTTTGTTTCACAGCAAACTGCCAGCTAGAAGCAGCCTAATTGGCTGGGCATATGGCAGGGGGTCATGTTCTAATGAACATGTAGCTCGCAAATCTGAAGAGGAGTGGACGTGTATGTGCTGCACCCTAATAAACAAGCCTTCTGCTGAAATCTGCGATGCCTGTTTGACTCCAAGACCTGAAGGTAGTGAAGGGTTGTCTGGCAGCTGTATTGGGAAAGAGGGGAGGTCTATGATTTCAGTGTAGTTTTTATGTAGAAGTGTCTCATTGTGAATCATATATATATAACTAGCTAACTTGAAGTCAGATTTTGAGGAAATCTTATACAGACAATATGGAAACTGTCTTGTCTTAAACCCTGTAAATGTCATCTTCCAACCTGGTGTACAGGAGGGATTCTGTAGATCAGTGTGTTCAGTGACCCTTTGTTTTTACTCGGGCAAGGAGTGAGAAAAATCTCAATTCTTTCAACTCTCTGTAAAATCCTTCAAAGTTTGCAGTGTAAGTCTGAATTAGAAATCATCAAAGGTCAGAAAATTACCTGTCATTCTTTCATGTGAACAAAAGCAATATATTTTAGTACCCTTTTCTAAAAGGATGCCAGGTTTCTCTGGGGCTACTTTTTTCCCTTCAAGTTCGGAGTAAAAATGATTCTGAACTTCTTACCTCAATTTGTTGTTTGTCTCTTGTTGGAGCTTTTAATGCTGCTATCTACATGAAATATTGCTTCATTGCTTAATCATTTTATGACTGGAGTGATGTGTGGAAAACCTTTATTTGGCACTAGCTATAGTTCATTTTCTCAGGTCGGGAATCAATAAAAGTATGTCTTTGTGCCTTACATGACAGTTGTTGGCAACACAGGCTAATCTTGCATAATTCTTCTGCCAAATCAGCACCAGAAACCTGAAAATTTTAATCTGTTCACAGAACAGGATTTACCAACTAACATTTATCCTGGAATTAATATTGTCACCTGGCCTTTATAATATATTATGCCATGTGCACAAATGCTTTACTTTAAGCTTTGAAACAAAACTTGTTCCATCTCCTGTACTTCTGAGTTTTACTTGTTTAGTTATATGCAGTTACTGAAATCGGGTGTGGAATTTGAAGCTGTCTTAGACTCGATGGAATACTGTTGGGAAATCTTTATTTTTTTTTAATATGACTTTTTTTTTGGATAGGAGCGATATTTGAATTTTTTTTTCAAAATAGGTTTGCTTACCTCTCTTTTTTTTAATCCTTAGGAGTCTTTCCCTTCTCACTTGCTTCAATGTTTGCTTTTTTTATGTTGTTTCTAAAGTTACCTACTGTCAGCAGAAAAGTTAGAATTTTTGAGGACAGGATACTTGGTCTGTAAAATTAGCTGCTGGCCCTACAGCCAAAATAATTCAGTCTGAAGACAGATAATTATTTACCATTACATTGCAATTTCCATGCTCCTTTGCTCAGTAGGAGGCTAAGCCAATACTAGTCTGTCTTAAAAAGTCTGAATGAAACCAATATGTCTGACTGTGCAGTAGGGGCAAAATGGAAGGTGCCTGGAAACAAGTAATGTTCCAAGTCAAATGTAGAGATTCTTATTTTGTTTCTGAGTGAGAATGCCTTTGGAGAGAGTGTATGTCTCATCTACCCATGTTCTGCTTAATTCCCTCTTTGTTGTATGGAACACACTGGATATAGTAGAAAAGGAAGGACTCTCTCCTGGAACACTGTGGTTTCACAGCTACCTAAAAAGATTGCACATTGGATGCCATTAGGTTTTTCACCCTTTTCTCAGGAAGGGGATTACCTGCGGTCTCCTTATGTATTAAATTGGCATTAAAAAAAATTATTCCTATTCTTTTGAAATTATTATTGCCCACTAGGAGGGCCTCTGATTCTGTGAAGAAACTGTTGTTTATATCACAAAGCAAATGTCTGGACTGCTTTCTTCTGAAAAGCCTCTTACAGTCAGTAAGTTTGGATTAACACAAAGTTTGGAAAGGATGGGAACTCTGAAATCACTAGAAACTGCAAAATCTTAATATTAATTTTTGTGTTAATAGTAAGGTAATACTTAAAAAATGGATAATGCATTGCTGCTTGGATGTACTATAGTCTTAGGTCTCCCATTACTGAGGTTATCAAAAGTTATTTTGAAAATTTTAAATGCTTTAATCTTTGTGTTTGGGCCAAATTAATTTTTTTATGGTTAAGTGTCTGATAGCTTTAATTTACATAGTACTGTTAATTGATTCTACTCAAGCAATAGTAATGCTGTCTTGAAACACATGTTTTACATGACTCTAAGAGTGCATGATTTTTTTATTGTAAGAAATTTTTTTTACTCTTATCTAATTTGTGACAGGTTTTGAGATGGTTCTGTAAATTTACTCTTTCATTCTCCAGTGACAATTTATGAATACAGATCAGAAATATAATGTAGCATTCCATGCAGATGGATTATAACTAAAAACTTTTTTCCTTAGTTCCAAAGATGGAGAGTTCTGAAGATTCTGCAGCCTTTAACACAAACTTAATGAAGTACCCTTGTAATGATTTCAGAAAACCAAGCACAGAAATAAAGATCAATAGGAAAACTGCATTTGGAACCACAACTCTTGTATTAACAGATCTTGGTAACAAAACTGTTCTGAGAAATGATATCCAGGTATCTGGTGGACATTCTCAGTGTGTTTTTCCAAAAAGCAATTGTGAACAGATCCAAAGCAATGCCTGCCAGTCAGAGGGAAGCCCAGACAAGGATTGCTCACCAAACGTAGCTGCCCTGGCTTCGTCCTCCTGTCAGCAGCCTGTCTCTTACAAACACATACAGAAGAAACAGAAAACTGACCATGTGCCTTTGGTTCACCCATCTAATACAGCAATCAGGTATGTATTCTCAAATGAAAGCAAGTCTTTATAATCCCATAAACCAACTTTATCCTTAAATATTAATTGAATACTGTGCTGTTTGGCACAGACAGTGTTGTCTTTGGATTTCTGCCAGAGGTAACTTATTCTAGGCTAACTATAATTTGATTCAGATTTCAAAAGCCCTGAATTACCTAGGCTGTCATTAGAAAAGTCCTGATTTTGGCATCCAGCCAGTACTGCTGTAAGCTAAACAGCTGTTCATAGTTCAGCTATTCCCATTGAATAGGCCAGTCTAGTTTTAATAGGTCAAGCACATTTCTACCTCAGGAGTTGTCTGATCTTAGCACTGTAGTTGCTATCTGCTTAGAGAGATCTTAAAATCAATGTGAAAGATTACAAAAGGAAGCTATCTGGATGAATGTATTCTAATTGAAGTCATTTGTCAACTGCCAGGTTTCAGCATTCTTCCGTGAGAGGAAGATCTGTGCAGTTACCTTGATGAGCTTCCCATCACTGTTTTTACTCTTAACTTCCCTCCTCATTCTGTATATACCCACTTCAATGCTCTACCCATACGTTTATTTACAGAGCCCTGTTCAGACACATCCATCGCCTAGTTAAGAGAAATGTGAGAGTCTATGGGGGCTGTCACAGAAAAGTTGGGCAGATAGTAACAACAGTAATGGGAGTGCAAGGTAGATGTCACATACAATGGTAAATTATGCAGGCTGAATGTGAAATATTGATGATTTGTTACAAAATTCTTCGTCATGTGTCTGTTCTGAAATACAGAAATTACTTCTTACATTGTTGAAGCACCGATCTCGCTGACTAGCCAGGCTAGACAGAACGAATACAATTCCTCCTCACACTTTCAGTACAGACTGAGGAACTGAGGCTGTAGGCAGGATAATTGTGAATACAGAGGACTGTAAACAAGAAATGAGATAGTATCAATCATGACAACAGGTTGTTGTGGCAAGTCATCAACTGAAATGCTTTTTTTATAGCATTTTCTTAAACAACCAAAACCAACAAAAAATCTGTTGGTTATTTTTATCTTCTTGTGTTTTAATGAGGTGTTGGAATAAAACTGCTGGTGTCTGCAGGACTGCAATCTTCCAGACATAGAAGACAACATAAAATTCCTAAGCTGATAACTTGACCAGAATGAATTAATATTTTCTTCTTTCATTAAGGTTCCATTTCTGCTTTTCTGCTCTATAAATATATTGGAAAGATACATTTCAGAGCATTAATCTTTTTCATGTCACTATTTTTAAATGAAACCTTGTGTATTTTAGATAGTCAGAAATTGTCTCAATCATGAGGAAGAAGGAAACTTTATCCCATTCAGAGAATTCTATTTCCTCCCATCATCTGGATTATTTCTTGTCCAAATGTGATTTGGAGCATTACTGTAACTTTTCAGTAAAGAGGGTGGGAGTCTTTTCTGTGAAGCATACAAATGTCTTCAGACTGGAGTAATTAGTGGTATTAGTGTTTTTCCCACTGAGACCAGAATGTTTTAGAACATACCAGAATTTGAGTTGGGCAGTATAACATCAGTACTAATATTTATTTTGTTTCATACATGAATTTGAGTACTTCAAAATAATTTAGGACATGGTGGGGAAAACTGGTATAGTACCTCAAGGGCAGCACACAGTCGTGTCTATTCACAACTCGCAGTCACTCAGATTTAAAGGCGCACACAATAGGGTGCATTAGAGAAGCGAGTCCTTTGTCTGTCACTGTGTGCAAAAGTACACTGGGTGAGCTATTGTCATGGCAGGAGAATTCTTTGACTGCTAGTCCCTTTTAAATTACACAGAAGTCATTTTGTCACCTGTCATTACAGCACACCTCAAACTAATGTGACAGATGCTACTCGTATGTTGAGCATGGGGCATCCTCGCTGCAGTAAACACAACCGTCTCTGCAGCCTCAGAGTTGTGAGAAAGGATGGAGAAAACAAGGGAAGGCAGTTTTACTGCTGCCCTCTCTCCAGGGAAACTCGGTGTGAATACTTCCAAGTATGTATAAGACTTCAGGACCTGTTTTTGTTTTTATAATCAGTGCTTGTTTCTGCAGCCTCCTTGGCCCAGTGACTTGTTAATCATGGACAGCAGATATATTCCATTTAAAGTTTGACATAAATACTGTTGCACACTGATTTGAAACTAAGAGCATAGTAATAGCTATTGAACTTAACAGTTTTAGTTACTTCTCTTAGTGTTGAGATGGCACCTGCTTGTGCAAATGCTCTTAATCTACTTCCAAGTGATGTGAAACAGATGCATAAGAAAAATACTGGTTCGAGGGAACTTGTAAAAGTTGTTCAGATCAGCTTCTTCCTGAAAGGACTATAACAAACTCTTCAGATCTAAAACAGATTTAATTTCCAGCCATGTTTCTGGCTAGCCAAAATCCTGACAGCCTCTTAGGATGATGATTCTGTAATCTGCCTGGGCAAACCCTCCCACTGCTGCATTAATACCTAACATGACCTTCCTAGCTGCAGTTGGTAGCCTCTGCTCCTTGCTACAGATGTAGATGTCTTAAAAGAGTTTGACCTGAAAAGTGATCTGGCAGTCATGACTATCAGGTAGTTAACAGATGGACTCAAGAAAGTAATGCCTAAATTTGAAAAAAAAAATATGTGCTAACATAATTTCAATTTACACCAGTCAAAGTGCTTGCAGTTGCAGTTGATGTTAAAGAAAAATCTAAAAAGTGTTCACAAAAGTGATAAAACTAATTTAAGTACTAGGAAGAATTTCTTCTATGGCATCCCCTGTAGGTCTTTTTCTGTTGTCCATTTTAAAATAAGGAATTCATAGCCATCACATGTGCCTGATACCTGTTTCTTTGGCAGTGGGCTGACTTGGATTTTCCATTTTGTAACCATGGCAAGCGATGTGTTATGAAGACTGTGTTGAAGATCGGTCCCAATAATGGAAAGAACTTCTTTGTGTGCCCTCTTGGGAAGGAAAAACAGTGTGGCTTCTTCCAATGGGCAAAAAATGGGCCAGGTATGCAGATTCTTCCATGATGCTCATGTTACAGTTACCTGCTCTTCAGGATGTCTTAAGTGCCTGTAACATTTGTAGTAATTTCTGTTTTCTTCTTTTTCCCTGTTCACTCGTTAACTAGTAAAAAAGCTCCAATGTAAAGAACAGATCTAGAAAGAGTAATTTTACATAGTCCTATAAAAATTAAACACTGCTTGTATGCAGCTTACAATTATGAAATAAACATTTAGCTTGCAACATAGTGTCATATACTATTGTATTTCTAATAAAAAATTGCACTGCTTCCTTTTTACATGTATTGTCTTAAATTGCTTTAAATTTTGATGTATTGTTTTAAATTTTCTTAAGTGTAAACATGTATTTAACAAAATGAAATAAAAAGAATATACTTTATTAAATGCCAGTCTGTGCTTTCTCAGAGCATAAGATGAAACAGCAATGAACTGTACAATTCAAACATTACAACAGTTGATTGACCTTGCTTAGATTTGGAAACATGACAAAAAACTTCCCTAAAACAAATAACATGACTCTTTGGTTTTCTAAATTATATATTCTAAATCCATGTCTTATGTTTTCTTCTAGTTGCTACTGAATATTTTTCCCCCAATCCATATATAGTAGATAATAAAATCTTACCTCGAGGATAGCTAGAACTCAGTTTGTTTGCTGGTTTTACCATTATTTGCTGAAGGGGTAAATAGAATATGGTAAGCTATCAAATCAGAAACAGAATTCTTCAGATCTTTAGAAAGTGTACTGTAGATAGCAAGGAAAATGAGACTAATGAAATGGTCATACACCATTCAGCTTTATACATCATTCAATTGCAACCAGTTTTAATTGAAAATAATGGGAAATAGTGTTGCTTCCCAACAAAATATGTGAGATGAGGTACCTTGCAAATGGTTCTTTGGTCTGTGCAAACACTTGTGGTATTTTGTTTTATGGAGGACTACTTGCTTTTCTTGAGAACATTGTATAACTTTTCTTGAGAACATTGTAAATCTTCCATTCCATGATGCAAAGGAAACTGCTTAATTCTTTTCCTAAGCAGCACAAATTCAGAGGCTTTTTTTCTTCCTCTTTTCAGTAGCGTTTGATACCTTTGAAATCTTTCAAAACTTTCTTTACATGAAGAAAATCTTTTTTAATCAGATTGTAGAAACTATAATCTTTGTTGGTCAATGGCCTCTTTCCAAATAATATGTCTCTTTCATGAGGTACGGAACTCCACCTGAGAACAAAACAAGCTACTTCACATGTGAGGACTTATTTTTCCATTGCCATCTCTTTCTGTGATGATTCTTGTTGCAATGATATGCTGCTGCTAGCTTGTGCTTATACATCTAAATCTTTAAAATTTCAATCTGACCGGTTCCTCACTTGTATTTGTACAATTCATTATGGTGATAAAGTGTGTGATTATTTTTAAATTGTACATGCTTTTGGATGTCTGGCACAGGGATTAATCTTCACCAGTTCAGTTAAAGTTGAAAAATAAAAAAGAAATACAACCATTTCTGATTACTTGCCTTCTATGAATGTTAAGATTTCTCTGAAGCTGGAAGTTAAATGAATTTTTCAAACTTTAACGCATGGGAAATAACAGTTGGGCTCTTACATATTTTTTAGCTTAATAGCGAAAAGAGAAGTGAATATCTGTTTAAATAAAATGCGTACAAATTTTAAAGAATTAAGTGCATTTATTCACTATGGCAATCACTTTTTCTGTTCTTGTATTTCTTGAATATGTTGTATATGGCATATTTGTAGCAGCCTAATTTTGCTATATATGCTAGTTCTGTAATGTCACAAGGTGAGGAACAGCAGACAGGGAAATCAAAGGGCAAGGACACCCTGAGCTTATCACAGTGAACAAGAAATGAAGGAATCTCACATGTTTACACTTAAAGAAAATAGGAAACTAAACAAAAGACAGTGAATTCTAATTCATTAGATGCCTCTGCAAACCTTACTGCTTTTGCCAACACTGCTTTTTAAATTCTTTTTTTTTTCTCCTTGGAGAAGATGGCACTTTGTAGCTTGTTTAACAAGGTCTGGCTGATAGCTGGTTATAACAAGTTTTGACCAAAAAAGCTGGCAACAAAACTTATCTTGGAATAGATCCCCACTCGACCTTTCAAAAAGAAACTGCAACCAAGGGTGCAAAACCAGATAAAAGTCCTGATTTTTGGCTTTTATTCTAATAGTTTACAAATGTGTTTTTATTTTTTCACATTGATTCATCTATCACAGTGCAAGTGATGGAACACACTTCTTTCAGGTTTCTATCTGGCTTACACATTTTAATGGCTTGTGTAGCACACAGTGAACTGTGAAGGCTAAAAAGAATAACAAGACCTAAGTTAAAAGAGGGAGCTATTTTTCACAAAGATTTTCTGTAATTTCTATTCCTAATGAAAGCAAATGTAAATCTTTTAGAAAAGAAATGTAAAGCTTTTAGAAAAATACAGCCCTTTCTAAAGGCCTTATGGTTCTGACACAGTTTTGTTACTTTGGCCTTTACCCAAACACAACCAAGAGAAATGGGATTATTACCTAACAGCCTACAGCACTGGCTTTTAGGAATGACAAGCTCACATAAGCTCCTTTGACTGGACGATTTTTAAAATGAGGTGCTGAGGACAGTTCTGTAATAAAAAGGAGACCTCCAGTAAAGCTGACTTCTAAGTACTCTTGTGTACAACTTTTAGACATTAACACTACACAGTGATAACATGACTCATAACAGAAACCTGTCTTTCACCTTTAAGCTGAAAACACATTTTATATACCACAGAACTAACCTCAATAAGCCCCTGAACTCAGCTGAGATACTATACAAAACAGGTTTTAGAGGATCAAATCAAGGTCACACAAGTTGTGGAGTAAAAATTTTAAACTTGGAAAATACTAATGCCATATGCCATAACCAGTTTCTGCTTTATTAGCAGCACTTTCATTACTGTTACAGTTTAAGTAAGTTTAGGCAGAGTATACCCTTCAGACTGAAATTAATTTTTATTTTCCAATTCGTGCCATTCAGTTTAGAATCAACAGATTTTTATGCCTGGTTTCATGCCTTTAAACCCTTATTTAAAAGTTTTGTAACCAAGTACTTGTTAAAATCAGGCAGTGCCATTTGATGTCAGTACAAATTCAGCAAATAAATTAATAGAATACATTAGTATTCTATTCTACAGTAGTATTAATTCATTGAGGCCAACTAAACTTACACTAAAAATAGGCACTCAAGTTTTGGGACAGGACTATGTCACAACTGTGATTACAGACCTTGACAATTATACATGTATTCTGCATCCACCTTCCTACATAAAAAGGTGCTAGTTCTCACTTGTTTTTTTGGAATGGAAACTTACAGAAGAGTCATTTAGCTAGAAGACAGAAAGGGTCTTTCAAAGACACAGAGGATGCCTTCCTTAATATCTGTATGAATGCTGATCATTAGTGGCTAAGCATCTTTCACATGAAATCAAAAGGTATTGTAAAGTCTCTAACAGACTTCACAGCAACTGTGAACATTCTAGAAGATTTAAAATTCTTTTCAATGCCTCTTGTACCTTTTTGCACTTTCTGCAATTCAGCTTGCTGATGATAGGCAGAGTTCATCATGCAGTGTAACTTAATATTCTGCACGTCTGTTTTTTATTTCTCTCTGATGCCTGAAAGGTTGTTTATTATGTCAGATTTTTACTTGAATATTCAAATCATACATCCAAAATTAATTTAGAAGTGTGTGGGAATGCACTATAATTTATATTAGTGGAACAACAAAACCCAATCTAAGGAGAGAACCCAACAAATTATTTTCCATATGAAAGCTTATTAAAAATGCATCAAGCACATTTACGGGTGAGCAGAATTCAGAGTGTACACAGTGTTGTCTAAACATAGTTAGTGCTTTAGTTACTTAACTTATTGAATTGCCACTGCTGTAGAAAGTGCAGGTCCCTGCAGAGTTTGTATGATTTATAACTTTTTATTATAAAATCAACTTCAAACAACATGACTGTCTTTCAGCGATTAGCCATGTGATATGATCATACTATGAAAAGGTGCTAACACTACTAATTTTTTAATACTAATGTTTTTGGTGAATCTTCTTAACAGAGAGATGGCAGAGTAAAGAGAGACCTGATTCAGCAGCAGAGCCTTAAAGGTGGGATGGACTGTGTAGTTAGGAACACTGAAGGGGAAAGTGAAGCTCTGTTTTGGCAGAGGAGAAAGCCCATTTGACTGGTTCAACTACTTGTGGAACTGAAGTCTAAGTCAGACACTAAAAGCCTGTGTGGTCTAAATAATCATCTACCCTACACTTCTGTAGAAAATGTGGATTTAGAATTTTTTCTGGCTATTTTCTTTAAACATAACTTCTTTTGTTCAACCACAGTACTCATGACGACAGTGACAGCAAGCATTTGAAGGATTTTTATCCTTTTATGAAGGATAAAAATCCTTCACAATTTATTAGAGACAAGGACACTGCAGTATGGAAGAGACTACCTGAAATGGGGAAAACTGGGAAATAAATGCATTTTAAGCTTTATTAAAAAAACAATGCAGCACAACACAAGGATCACCAGCTTTGTTACATGCCCCCAGTTAAGTAGCATGTGCAAGGTGCTTTTGCTCCAGCTAGCTGACTTTTGAAAAGCACAATATTGGCTAAGGCTAACATTATTTCAAACCTAAGGCAATATCCATTAAGAATAACTAGAGAAAAAAATAATGCATAAACTCTCATAAAAATAATTCAGACTACATTTCTCAACTATAAATAATTCCATACCAGCAAAACCCCAAGGGTTTTTATTAAAAAGAAACAAAATCTAAGCATTTATTAATTTAATAAATATGTTCTAGAACTTCAGGATGACCTAAACATAAAAATGAAAATTTTGAAATGTCTATAGAAAAACACTAAAGTTACAAGATATCTCTAAACAAGCTAAAATGTAAATTTCAGTTTTAAATCTAGACTACATTTGAAGAGCAACTTTGCAATACAAAAGTTAAACTCATTACTATAGCAATACTGCTGAGCCTATGGAAGTGAAAAATACATTTCAGCAAAGTTCCACTCAAGGCAAAGATGGTGGGCTCTTGGGAAATTTCTTAAGGATGGTACTTTCACATGAAGTGGTCTTGAATATAAAAGTGTAACTTGCTTTGATTATAACTGAGAAATAACATTTAAGTCAATACATAGCCTTGTAGAAGATAAAAGTAAAAAATGCACTGAACACTAGAATGCATAAACAAACTTAAAATCCATTTGTATGCACAAGAAATTAGCAAAAAAATGCACTTGCTTTTTTCTTTACTGTACACATAGAATATATAATTTATCCTTTGCTTCTCAGGCAGCTCATGTTAGTTGCACTGTATTTGCCACTTCTCTGTTTCTTTCCAAGGTTCAGTCATCACCTAGTATTTCAATGCCTTACAGTTTCACCTAGAAACCCAAGCAATATCTCATGCTACACTTCACTAGAAAAACAGAATACACTTATTTTTAGTCAGCCTAAATCCATTTAATAGGACAAGGCTTTACAATTTAAAAAAAAAAAAAAACAAAAAAAAACCAAAAAAACCCCACCCAACCTTCTATAAAAGTAGGCTTTCAGCAAATGCATTTCTTAAAAACATGAACTGACTTCAAGTAGACCAGAACAAATATACCTAATATTATCATACCCCTTTCTTTTATTGTAAATTACTCAGGATTACTGTAAGTAATCTAAACCAGTGTCAGATGCTACAAGCAGCAAAAATGTTACACAAGAAGTTCACAATAAGGACAGAAGGTTTCAGAAAGATACCTTTGAAACTTTTTTATCTTTGTGAGACATGGAACCACTGAAACGGAATTAAAAGTCGAAAAAACCCCACTATCACATAAACACACAGAAAATCTGTTTTCCTTTTGCAGGGGAAAACTAAACATGTATTCTTGACATTAGCTGCTAAAGGTTCTTGGATTCTCACACAGCCCAACCCTGACAAGATCAGGTGATCAATGCAAGGTTTAACCATACAAAGTATCCCCCCACAGCCTGACTTGGTGTTTTTGGACACAGCAATGCAGAATTAGACAAGCATAGAAAAAACTTTTGCCATAAAACTATTCAGATATGCAGATGTTACGGCACATACAGAAGTTTCAACTATTAATATTTTGCTAAATACAATTTGTTTTGATAAACCAGAACAGGAATGATTAGTTATGGATTGAAACAGAAGAAGAAAAGCAGTTATGGGGCAAAATAGAAGGTGGAATTCAGGTGAGGGGAATAAAGCCCTGAAACTACAGTGCATACAAGGAGCCCCCTCCCCCCTGAAAAACCTGGCACGATTACTATCCTAAAACTTTATTTAGCAGATCTCAGGTGGTGCTAGTTTGTATGTAGTACATTAGGTACTACTGAACTCAGTCCCTGATAAAGATTAACAGCTGCAATTTAAAAACCTTTGTTTCCTCC